GTGCGCAATTTCCTCCAAAAAGTCGCCACTGCACCAGAAACATCACTGAGAGCAGCGTTAAGTGATCTAACTAGACTCTATGCATTCGATTTGATAGCCGCCAGTCAAGGAGAGTTTATGAGGGTACGTGTTCGGCATAAAGACTTATATCTAAACCAAACTGAATCGACTCTCCAGGATGGATTTATGTCGGAAACTCAAGCAAATGTAGTTCGAGAAGGAATTTATAGAAGTTTGGAGCGGATACGGCCAAATGCAGTATCTTTAGTAGATAGTTGGGATTTTGATGATACTGAGCTCCATTCGGTAAGTAGTTTTCAACTTTTTAAGTGAAATTTAAAATTCGTTCATCCATTTGAGGTTCTTGGACGACGAGATGGTAATGTCTACCCTGCGCTACTTGAGTGGGCTCAACAAAGTCAACTGAATAAGACAGAGGTAAAAATCCAAGCAGCTAGCTGAAGGAACTTCAATTTTCCATGTTTCAGGTATTGCCAACCTTCGAAAAATACCTCGGACCAATGATGAAAGATGGGCGATCAAAATTATAAAAACTTCGCTGTGTACACATATTAAGAGTAAAAAATGTAGATTTGTTTCAAATACGGTTCATTTGTGGTTTGTGAGTTTGTTGCAAACAAATTCTAACTCGGTAAGGCATGGAACATGTTTTCAAAACTCTCTTATACAGCACTGACTAGAAACTCACTTCTTGCCTCAAATCAACTCCTACAGAAACGTTTATTCTAAATTACTATACTATTGCCACATATGAAATAAGATTGAAGTACATATGTATAAGAAAGAATTTTTTCTAATTCAATTGCATCTAGGCTTGCTCCCTGGAATATCTACCACGCTTTGTTGGTTTAAAATTTTGAACAGCCAGATTGTCGAGATTTCCACGCTGAATGAAATGAATTGAACAAGATTTGAGAGCGATATCGTAGCACTTACTTCGTATACAACTCGGAGTTTCGGCTCAACTATATTTAATGTCATTGGCTCTGATTTATTCGGATGTGCAGGAAAATTCTTTTTTCGAAATTTTTTAAGGCTTCTTTCATGAAGTTCTCGTAGGGAGAGTTCTTTTTACAATTCAATAATCCACTTTAAAACCCAGGCTTGATACTAGATGTCTCACCATTCAAATTGACCATGCTGCGAACTGTGTTCCCAAAAATTATCTCCTGGGTAAAGCATAGAGCATCCCTTTTTTGAAGTACTGAGAGACGTTCCACGGGATCCAGAATGATTCTAGATACTCAAAAACTTGAACAATTATGTCGCCAGGATAGCACTTATCCTTAATTACTGGACGTCAGGCATAGGCATGAGTTTCAGACGATGCTCAAGCACTTCTATAATCACGCCTGCGTTCATTACTAATT